AAATATAATATATTTCCAAAACAACTTCATCAAGGACAAAGACATCTTTCAAATATCAGGTTATGATTTTGATATGATATATAGGTAATGATATAAAGTTACTCATTTTAAGAGTTTAAGAGTTTACTACTATAAATTTTTTTTATATGTTTTTTTTAAATGTTGTTTGTTAAAAAAATGCAATTAGAGCCCAATACATGATCATTGCAACTATTTTCACAGTTGTTTCTGGCCTTATGGCAATCCTTCAGAATAACTGATATCAACTGATAACCATTACTTACAGTAACATGCTTATAGCTTTATACAAGTCACTGTAAAATAGATTTTAAAATATTTGACTATTTGAAAGGAAATAGCAATAGTGGTAGCAGCAGTGAGACAACATGTGGCGTTCATGCTCAAATTAACAGTGCAGAAAAGGACTGCCAAGGCTACAGGACAGCAAGGATGGGGCAGAGGAGGCTTGTGAGTTCTGCTGCTGCGTTTCAGGGGTCTCCAGGGAGCTTGAGGTGGGATATCACAAAGACAGGGAAGGGCGGGCCGCCTGAAGGGTGTGCGAGAGAACCGCTTTATGTGCCTTTCTGTAAGTTAGGCTTTTGCATTTGAGCTGTTATACTGTGAAAATAAAAATAGAAAAGGATGTTCACAGAACAGTGTTTCAAAAGCTAAATCCAGGAAGGTTAGAAACCCCCATAGGCAGTGAGAGTATGCATCGGCATTTTTAGAGTTACAGTATAGAGCAGATATCAGAAACCCACCGTTAGTCCCTGCAACACTGATATTCTCTGATCTCAGAATTCATTTGGCATGAAGAAATCAGACTCCTGTTATGGCTGTAACTCACCTATATGGTAAACAGACTTGAGAACATGATCTCTATGTCCATATATATGAAATCCCTGAAATCTAGCTTTAACTTTAACTCTGCATATGGGATGGTCTGTTTATATTTTCAGAAGGGTTTAGTTTCTCATAAAGAAAGTGATTTGCAACTTACAGGCAGCAGGCATTTGAGAAACTGTGTGTGTTTGATTTGAGAATGTGTTAATAGAACACAGAGTATGAATAAAGGGTAAATGCTCAGATTGAGGTGCAGCAATTAGTGGAGTACCACAGGACTCTGTACGCAAACCTCTGCTTCATTTCTATTAATCTCCCCAATTTATATTAATGATTTAGAGTCTGGTAGAGTTAATATGCTAGTCATGTTTGCAGACACTACCAAAACATCAAGACTAGAAAACACTGTAGAAGCAGCAGATGAAATTCTAAACAATCATCTGGCAGATTACGTTTACTGTATTCTGGGGGAATGTTGAGCTCAAGGTGGTACTTAAGAAAAAGACTGAGGTATTTATGTTGACATCTTTTATATTTTACATCTTTTCGATAATGTTGGCAAGCAAGGAAAAAGCAAACAAAATGTTAAGATATATAGTTATAATTTTTGAATTTTTAATCAAGTACTGTTTTGGTAAAAATACCAAATGGACTGATAAAAAGACCTCATGTTATTTTTTTATAGAAATAATAGTTTTTGGTCATCAAGTAACAACTACATTAGTAACAACTACATTCATGGGCTTTTTCTCAAACAGGACTTTTTACAAAGTGACCTACAAAACAAACTGGGGGACACAGGAGGAAACTAAATGGACGTGTATCTATAACTGAGAACAGGACCATGTCTTTACGTCTTTATAAAAGTTTTGTCAGAGTATGGAACAAGCAACTAGCTATGTGACTGAAGCCAGTACTCTGGCCTCTTTCAGGAAATAGCTGGATGAGATTCCTGGATCATTTACATATGAATAATAAATTAATCAATATAATAAAATCCTGTAATGGAAACAGCAATTTTATAATTTTGGGTAATTCATTGGAAACTACTTACTAACAAACATTTTGTGTAATTAAGTGAATAACTAGTTAAATGTGCTACTTATTCAGGGGTGTTGAGAGAATGTTTTACATTTTTAATACTTTTAAGAAAACTTTTATTTTGAGGTAGTTTAGTAATACCTACTGTACTTTTAATTATTTCAAAATGGCATGTTAGAGTTAAAATTTTTAGCTCCAAACCAGTACAAAAAGCAAGACATTTTACAGAGAAAAAAGTTTTACTTTGATTTTGATCTAGTTTTCACAGATGTGGACAACTTAACATCAGTACTGCATAGTTAAATGTAGCACTTTCTGAATCAAATCAAATAAGCCTTACATTTTATCTTTTAATGCTTTGAAGGATATGATATGAAATCAGCAGTTGGGAAAACATGGAAAAATCTACAAGGACAAAGCATTTGTCCCGCTTTCTTTACATCTGCTAAAATCCGTTAGCTCTTTAATGGAAAGCCCAGGGGTGTCTATGTGGTAAAATAACCATTTTAATTAAAAATATATAAATGTACATGTACAAAGTACAAAAAATACCAAATGGAGTTTGAAAATTGCCATGACAGCAAGGAAAAACTTGGCTTTTCTAAGTTCCTGTAAAATTAAAACAACTATGAAGAAAACCGGTTTAAAGTTGATTAAGTTTACCAGAGGGGTGGGCAACACACTACAAGGAATATAGCACAACTCCTGTGGTTATTGGCACACGAAACACAAACTTTATAGACAAAACCGCAAAGCTATTATATTCAAGAATAAATTAAACCAGAAAACCAGTGAAGTCCAGATTGATGTTTATTTTATATATAATTTGTGTTCAATTTGGATAAACCATGACTAAAAAATGCACTAACTCTGGCCTAAAGTACAAAGTAAAATTAAAAGCTGGATTCTGTTAGATCAGAAAATATTTAAACTCCATTCACAGCTTTAACAATAATATGAACAGAAAAAAAAGAATGCATGTTCAAATGCTTTATAAAGTGACTCAAGGAAAACTATACCCAACCTGACAACAAGACAAAATACATATTTCAAAACATCTGACAGTAACTGCGCCAAACACCAAGTACTGATCTAAAGGGGTGTATAAAAAAGAGTTACAATAACTCCTGAAAGCTCAAACACCAGCTGAAAAGCTAGCAAAAGGTAAGTGAGTTCTCTGTCCACACTCTATTGTTACACCTGCCAATTTAGATTTACACTGCTGTGTATGGTCTGCTTGAAATAGGCTTATCTTAAGAAAGGCCAGTGATTCAACAATAGGGCCATTTAGACATTAAAAGGAATGTAAGTTTATTATACATTCAAAAATGTCATTTTCAAGATGCACTTTTATTGAAACAAATCTACAGGTACACTGCACAATGTGGTAGCATAAGAAGTAATTTTCGTATGTGATAATAACAATAATTTAAATAAATTCACACGACTAGGCTAGTTTATAAGTAACATTGTGAAGCAGATGATGTGATCCTACCACTAATTCATCTCAGATTATTTTGTTGTTTTTAACAGAAAAAAGAAGATTTTTCATCACAGTTGGGGATCTGGGCTACACTATGCTGGTCTGAAATCTTTTGATTTTGATCAAGACTAATGAAGTTATTTGAATGAAAAGAAGAAGGAGTACTTGTGGGTTTGAGTATTGATATGCTGCTCTTTTTTAGTGCTGTCTTAAAAGAGCAAAAGTACCAAAAGACTGTCACAAAATGTATTCTGGACTCCTGCTGATGTCTTTTGTCATCGCTGAATATCTCATGACTAGCAAACCCGAGAGTGGATTAGCCACAGTGGATTAAAAGATTTGCCTCCTAGAGTTTATTTAATATTGTTTTGCTTATTATTACAGAACTACGTTGGAAAAATATGCATACATCTTCAAAACCGGGTGATGTCCTTCTGTTAATTTAGTGTATTTGGAGAAAGGCAGTATTGACTCTAACCCAGAGCTGTGCCTCCAAAGGCGGTACACTTTGGACAAGGAAAGCCTGATGATGAATGAACACAAGGAAAAAAGCACGAAAGCTCATCATGATCTGTGGTGTGTTAGTTTTCAGATGCGCTGATAGCAGTCGAGCCATTGTTGTGCTGCCCAGTTAAATCCGCTGGCTGACTGCAGCCAAGTCCGCAAGAGGCACGAAAACTAGGAAAACAACAACAGCGCACCTACCATAGGAAAGCACTCCACAGCACAACAATTGATTTCAAGAAGAATGCAAGCTGGGAAAGCTGTGGGCATGATCCCGACTCCTAGCCTGATCTATGGAGTTACCCAATGTTTGTATTTTTCTATCGGGTGTTTTCCGAATAAAAAACGGTTTCCGATTGCTTTTTTACAGACCGTGGCGCGTTACGCACACTGCGGTATGTATGGCCGCCATCTTTAATCATAACTGGGTTCGTTTGCGAGTCCTTTTTTCCTTCCCCACTGATTGTTATGGTGGTTCTTTCTTCTGACTGACATCACATTGCAGTATCGACAGGCTCACGGGCCGCGCAGCAGGAGGTCTCTGGGATATGGAGCTCAGGCTGGCCATCGCTGCCGTCCGGCAGATCCGCTGCCTACATTCAAGCCTTGCTTAAACATAGGGATTGCAAACAAAAATTCGTCCCAGTTCAAGTGCCTTTGATCTCATAAAGGCCTCCATTTACAGCTCCTTAATAGAGGCTTTTGAAAATATCTTTTCTCAGATGTTCCGAGTAATGAGATTTAGAATACTATGATTAATCTAGGCCCGCTTTTTTTTGTACACACACAGACGCACACTCTCATTCAGCCAAACTGACTTGGTCGCTTAATTCTCCCAACATAAGAATTGGAAAAAATATATCGGAACTATGCGAGAGCCCAGCTGGAGTGCTTTGACGGCGCTGTTTTTAACAAAATTTGATCTGAAAGGCCTACAACAATAATTTTAAAGTCTGGCCGACCCGCCCGCCCCTGCCCCTTCCCTTGTTTCATTCATCTTCTCGCTTTTTTTTTTCGGAAGCTGAACGTTAAAAGACTAATCTTGTTTACTGTCCCTGTGTTTTTGATTCACAGAGCACTTTTCGAAGAAGAATGAAGGGAGTTAAATCGGTAGGGACGATGCTCTCACCTGCCTCTCCTGCTGAGTAGTTCGTCGGGTCTGATTTTCGTGTTCCGCCATGACTGGGCGCAGTCGCCTACTTGCCACCCTGAGTACTTACTTATACTCATGAACCTGTTTCTGTTTCTTACTACTGTGTTGCTGAAAGATGTGCATCTTTACTTTATGTTGCAGCTTTGGCTCTCCAACCTGATTGGATGACGCAAGGACCAGATGATAGTGCTTAGAACCCTATTGTAACTATGGCAACAGACCCCTTAGGCATGAGTGATTTGCTCATAATTGCTGGATAAACATACAAAATAAGGCGCTATTTCAGCATTTTATTGTACTCCACACTAAGAGTATAAATGACAATAAATAAATCAATTGGCTTTCAAATAACAGCTAAGCTGAGCAAGTTCGATCAATGGACCAGCCTGCGCCGAGAAAGGCAGAGGAAAAAAAGAAAGAGACTTGGTAACATAATGCTTTTCCTATCATCCGCTAGTATCACTTGCTGCGTTCATAAATAAAGAATAAAGTTGAGTTTGGTTTCGAATCAAGAGGCTGGTACGTGTCTTATTGAAGACGAAGAGACAAAGGAGAACAACAACAACAAAAAAGGTGAAACAAGACAAGAGAGGGTTCAAAGATAAAAGTGAAGGGGAAAAAATGGGAAAAAGAAATAATATTCCCTTTGTACCAAAGTGTTATCAGCTGCTTACCTTTCATGTGGATTTCACACTCGCTTGTCTGAGGCAGCGAGGGTCAAGCCCAGCAAACCCTTCCCACAAGATCCGATTTTCCACTCACACTGTCCAGCAGCCTCCGCGTCGGCTGCCACTTACATTTGTGTCGATGATGCTGCACGAAAACATTTTGCATAAAGGTGTCGGGTTTTGTGCGTGCATGTTTGAAACCCATCTGTGTGTGGATAAATGTACTTCAATAATGCGCTGGGAGCTGCCTCTTACAGTGACCAAACAGGCTATGTTTGCAAAATGGAGATAAAGGAAGAAATTCATGGATTTTTTATTCAAAAGAGCAGCATCTAGCCTTTAGTTTGAGTTGAACTCATCACTGTTGAGGTGGTGTGTGTGTCTACAGCTATAAAGAAAAGTTGCCAGTCCGACGAAACACAAAAATAATCAGGCTTGTTGAAATGTTAATTTTCATTGTCCTTTTGACGCTACCTGGCAGTACGACCAGGGTTATGTAACTTTGTTAATGCTTTCTCTTCAAATATGCTGAGATTGATGGCACAAAGAGAATCGTGGACACCTTTGCTAAATTGTGTATTTTTTATGTACTGTTAACTTAGAAATTACAGACTTTTTTCCAAGCAGAAATGATTTTATTTGAAATAATGTTGTAATATTCTAATATTATATAAAGATGAGGAAAACTACAAATACTATATTGGTTTACAGACTTGACAAAGTAAAGGACTTTTTTACAGAACAAAAATGTTTTTATTCTTTTCATTCTGTAACCCAATTGTTCTGTGTGCAAACTGCGTGCAAATCTAGATTTTGTAAGGTGTGTGTTCTGAGTTAGTGTGCATCACTGCTCTGAAGTATATTTCGCTCTGTGTAGGACTTTACAAAGTTGAAGCAATGACCTCGTCCGCCTCTAACACTTCTGGAAGTTAGGAGCTCCTCCAGCGCTGTGGGATGAACACGGATTAAAGGGCACAGGAAGCACTGCAAGATCCCTCTGTCCTGTCCTGCTGTAGGACAAAGAAGAGGGAGCAAGGACTTCACAGTAATACAGGACTGCAATCGCGAAGAGAGAAAAACACCCCAAATTCTCAAAAAGGAAAATTTAAAACATGTCTTCACAGAAAAGATTGGGGGTTTAAGAAATCTTCAAATGAATTGATGATTTGGATATTTTGTGGATCTTGATAAGATATTTAACATTCCTATTTGTCCTTGAATTAACTAAAACTTTTTAATAACTTCTTGCAGGATAAACCATGAAAAGACAGGGAAAGGTCAAGTAGTGTAATTACATTTTGTCTGCTGAGGTACACTAATCTTTTAAATAAGGTCTCTTGCTCAAGTTAAAACAAAATTGAATGATTTCACAAATTTGAGTGGAAAGTTAAGGTGGTTTATATAAGACCTCTGGTCTAACAAAATGAAGATGTGACAGACTGCTTCTACATAAAGAACACCCACAGCCAAATCTGGAACAAGGTTTTTAAACAGATTACTGTGTTTCTTCAGGCATTTACTTAAAAGGCTGGGTGTAATGCATTTTAAAATAAGGTGCCACTGATAAAAAAGAGGGGCTGTAGCTAAGTCAAATTGAGAATTAATTGACCTTTGTGAATTAATTTGTTCATTTGTTGTTTAATCATACTTGTTCTTTATGAATACATCAACCATTGTCCATTGGAAACTATCTCTTAATAATAAAAACATCTCGCTATGTCAAAACTATTGCCCATTTTAACCAACTAAAAATAAATCTACACATACATCACAGCAGAACTCTTCATGTTAAGTGTTTTCTCAATATACATGGGGAAGTAGTTTCCAGGCTGGCTTCCTACAATTACATGTCAATTATGCATCAAGTGTTTCATTACAATGATTCTGTATTACTTCAGGGGTGTCTTATGGAGAAATTTAACAGGTTACGTATAGCTGCAAAAGTGAACAAATACTCAGGTTAATCCGAATAATCCACATTGCTTTTTACTGCGTGACACAGCATTGAGAACAGCATTGCCAAAGTCTTCTGTACTGTTACATACATTCAGTGTTACACTTGAGTGCTAATGATGTCAGTCTGCAAGCTGTAGTGCACTGAGGAAACAGTGCTGATATCTAACGCTCAGATTTACGGACTTCAGCACCCTATTAGGCCTTTCAGCCTCTGCGACTCACTGCACTGCCCGATACGGAATACACCTCCCGACCACCAGTCTGTTTCTGACACCGAAAGTTTCCGAGTAAGCACTTAGATAATACTTGATACTACAGTATATACTGAAGTAAAGCTCTTCTGTCATAAACAGAAACAGATTAATTAAATACTAGTTTTCCAAAAAAAAGAAAGAGGGTGAGAGGAATGTTCCAGTTTTTCAAATAGAATCATTACAAACATTTCCAAATGATATTACAGGTGTTTAGATTATCAGGAAATTCATCACACAGCAAATCAGCGTGACACTCACAAAAAACTGTAATGTGTAATACATTCCATTTCACACTTGACCTCTGATGAATCTGCAAGCTATAGTGCACTCAGGAAAGATTGCATTATTAATTTGGATAACACACAACATCTGCCAAGGGAGAATTTCAAAGATTTTTCTTTCCAGTTCTCCTCCTTTCAAGAAACACTAGACTGAATTTGATTTTTGCTTTTCAATCAAATTGGTACAGTTTGTATTTTCTAAACAATTCAGAAAACTAAGAGAAACAGCTCTCGGCTTCATATGCTATATATCCATCCCCAGCCCCCCTTCAAACCTACACAAAGCTGTTACAATATAAAGCATCATTTGTAATTCTTGAGGGACTGAAGTAATTTGGCCTGTAGTCACACTGAAATCATGGTCTTTTCAGTAAGTTCTTAAGATACAACAAATGTCAAGGTTAAATCGCTACAGATCTCTCCTCATGATTTCCGAGAAGTGCTTACACAGGAGTTGCATTGCTGTTAACATTCTCTATTCACTTTCTGTTTCTGTATAAGAGAAATGCATGTATCTGATCAATTTAGTGCAGAACTATTGAACTTGCAAAGTAGGTCTATTAGTTTCCTTTTTTCCCTAAAAAGAGTGCCACATTTCTGGGTTAACATGACAAGCTCTCACAGAAAGGCCTGATTCTTCATATAGTTACAGTACCCAGTACCCAGTAACAGCACGTGGGCTGCAGGCACTGTATACTACCTTCTGATATCAGTGTTACCACTATCTGGGCTGTTCTCAAGAGATCTAGAAACTAACAAAAGCTGGTCCTGGTAAGCCTGGGATGTTAGACCTGGTCTGTTGTGTAGTGGGGCTGCTGGGACCACATCTCACTGTAGAAAGGTAATGATTCACCACTGAATAATGTCAGTTAAATCGAAAGGCCACCCTCTCGTCAAAAGAGCATGTTGTCCTTCTCTCCCCAAGTGCAATTGGAATGAGAAACCACGGTAGAACCGAGCCTTACAGCTGGGTGTCTGGAAGTCTGAATCTCACTCACGGGTAATTTAGAGCCTGTTTGACGTTCAGGTGATTTCTAGTTCACAAGGGACAAACTCTGAGTAGAGTTACAACAGTTAAAACACTTCAGAAGAGCTCTCCAACAATGTTCCCAATGACTGCTGAGCTCTGTCCAATCTTCTGATCATCACTGTACAGTACGTTCATTTTCTTTCAAGACGACCACATGAACCACTGCAGACCAACTGTATATCATGCGAATAAGAAACTGCAGAACGGTTCAGATCAACCCACTGAGGTGGCGTTGGGAAAGGGGTCCTAGCAGGGCGGTCTGAGCATTGCAGAAATATCTCCTTCGGGTTTTGGAGAAATGGGCAGCCGCAATGATAGAGAAACTCAAATCCCACCAGCAGTCTTGCTCAACGTGCTCCTTAACCCTACAGCTGCCACCTTCCCTGCTGGCGATACTGAGCCCAGCCTCGCGCCAAGTTCTGTCCCATCTTCACAGGTTGGAGTCCAGCTCCCATCGACACTTCACATACAGCCTCGCCAGCCACGAGAAGGAAGCCTCTGGCTTAGTCTCCAGGAACAGCAGTTTGTCTCAGTGTTCTGTGTTCATGCACAGTAGGCACAATGCCAGCACCTTTATGCCATCAACGTGTCATACCATACCCATCAAGGTATTCAAAACAAAAACAAAAGTTAAATCAAGGTCTGACTTGGGAGCCAAAAAAATATGGCAAGTCTTCTTTATCAAACAATACTTCCATTTAATTCCAGCAGATACGGTACACCGCAGGGTCGTTTGTGAAGAAGTGTTTACATGTCCTTACAATAATGATCTTGTAAGATCACTCTGAAACCGAAAGTGAATGATCTATTGCATTTTTCACAGCCTAAAATTGTTTTGTAAGGAAATCATAGTACCATTACTACCTTGTAGTCCGATGCTATCAGATGTTAGAAGCTAAATGATTTGACAACCACTATCCTACAGCACAGTGTGACAGCTGGGAACAACGGGGCTCAAGTGTTTTCAACAGAGCTCCAAAGACCATTCTAACGATCGCGCTATGCTTAAAGAGGAAAAAAGAGAACCAACAGATATCTCAATAACAGCTGACTTCTCTCATCAAATTGAAAACAAAAAGTATTTTGTTTAATAATTAAAGTGCTATGCTGCCCACCTGAGTAAGGGGCATTGAGTGTGCTTGTTTCCAGCAGCAGGAAACCTCCAGTCCTGGCTGTGTTTCTGAGGGTAATCTACAGATCCCACTCAACTTCAAGACTAGATGGCATCTGCTCTTAATGTAAACCTGTACAGAAAAGGTTGCTTCACACAACCTTGTAGAAAAATGTCACATTATTCAAATGTCTCTTGCAGTTTCTGATAACACAGGATACTCTGCAGCGCGTGACCACCAGATCTCACTTACCAGGGCATAGGAAATACCATCTTGTGTGATCAGTCACCTCAGTTCAGTTTATTTGTCCCATGCACAAGTGCAACAAAATGCTTATTGACATGTATTTTATGTTGTGTGCTTCCAGCTTTGAGATACAAGTGTCTAAGAATGGATGTGGTGTTTTAGTCGTTTAGTTTGTGTTGCTGAAGTGTTTTTTTCTGGTCTGTTTTGAGCTCCCTGACTCCCAGTTCCCTGGTCTAAATACTCCACAACTTCTCTATGCAGATGTGTCCCAAATACACTCTGAATGCCCCTGCTGTTCTTACAGGAACCATTTCTTCCAGAAAATTCCAAAATGCCCCATAAGGCTAAACCCCCTCTTCTCTACACTACTCTTTCAGCTGCAATTTAACACTCCACACACCTGCTCTCTTTCCTGGGCTTGCGTATAGCATCAGTGGAATTCTTCAAACAAGTCAAAACCTTAGATTTATCAAGCACAACTCTCAAATTACAAATGTCTCAAAGCTAGCCTTTATATGTCATGTTTTCTAACATTGTGACAGAGCTGGCTCCAGCCTGCAGACACTATGCTATAGCCAGAACTACTACAAAGAACACTACAAAGAGATAAACAAACATTTACAACCAAACAATAGATTCTAACTTACTTTGTGCTTAGTGGGTACAC